AAACCCAAACGGGGAATTCGGGGATTCCCCAAATTCCCCGTTTGGGGAACGGGCTTTTTTCGGGGATTCCCCGAATTCCCCGAACGGGCATCGGGCCGGAATCGGGGAATCCCCTCGGGCTTTCGGGCCGGGGCCGGAGATAGTGGTCCCCGACCCCATGCCCATCCCTAATAAATCTGAAAATTTTAAACTCATCCAATAACAATAAAACATATAAATCAAAATAACCATAACTAATAACATGCAAACACTTACTAAAAAATATCAAAAGTCATATGAATTAGCAATAATCCAATTACATTGAACATAACACGAACAGTTGTTGTAATCAGTAATTATCATATAATGTTACTTAATGACATCTAAAACTATAAAAGAGTAGAGAATTCAACAATCCATACACCTTCAAATATTTCTTTCATTTCACACAGATACCATTAACAAATGGAAGACAAAAGACCAACTATTGTCAATCTAAAATCCAAACAAACAGAAGTGTGCGGTAAATAACATCAACTGATTACTCTTATATTCCTTCTACATATCTACTTTTACATCTCCATTTTTTGATTTTTAGCAGGTCAAGCAGCAACGTCAGATGGTTCGCCTGAACTGGAAGGTATTCTACAAAACCTTAAAGTCACGTTGGACAAACTCAACACTGCTAGAGTGATGAACAGAGATATAATGAATGCTTTGTTAGAAATAATAGGCTCAACCATACATGTAATATTCGATTTATGGAAACATGAATCCTTGATTATTGCCGAAGAAAAGAAACTTGGTATTCCTTAAGGAAAAAAATAGAACTATATATATAAACAGTTCTATTATCAATAAAATCAATAAAAGATTCATAGTTTATTGTTCCCACTGAATGATGATACCAGAAGCTAATATAAATACTGTTTATTCTACAGTTAACACATAATTCTACATTACTATTTTATACCTTTTAATCCATTTCTTAAAGATTCCATTTCATTGTATAACTTAATGGGTTGGATTTAAATTTTAAAAGTTTTTTAATTAAGTAGTGAATAAGTTTACTCACAATTGAACTTAAACTTATTCTATATGTGTTGAATGATTCATTTCTTTGTATAATTCAATGACTTAGATTTAAATATTGATTTTTTTTTATATGTTCCTTAAAATGACATGAGAACTAAACGTCTACAGTTGTTTTTTTTTTCAGAATATCCAAAATTGTCTTTTTTCAGATTGGTTATATGGCATATGTGGGATTGGTTCAGTCCGGGTTTGGAGGGTGTTGAGAGATGGGTTTAAGTGGGAATTTGTCAACAAGGTGTTAGTAGGCAGTTTGTGGGAAGTCAAGTCATGTGTGATGTTTCAGAGAGAAGTTTTGGAGTTCAGTGTCATCTTCGAGAGGTTGTTTCTCGAGTTGAATAGGTTGTTTCTGTGGAGGAAGAAGAGTTAGGGCATGTTATGAGGTTTAAGATGTCTATTTCAAGATTTTGATCTGTTACCTTGGCCTTGCTAGGCGGGTATGTTTGTGTGAAGAATTCAAATGTTTTTGGAAATTTGATGGGGTGTTTGATTTTTTGTGATTAATTGAATTGGGATTTCCTGTAGGTTGATGAGGTTGTTTTTGAAGCCATTGTGAATGATTTAACAGGTTTCATTCTTTTTTGTTTCTCTCATTATTTTTTATGATATGTTAGACAAGGCAGTGAACTTAGATGTTTGTTTGTGAGATTTACCCTTTGTATACACAAGAGTTGTGCTAGAAAACTAGATGAAACGTAAGTCAATGAGGAGTGAGTAACTTCTATCTACTAGTAGTGCTTTTGGGAACAGCATGGTTATTGGTGATGGCATTCTAACTCGTCAATGTCTGGTATTATTTTTCATACATTACATATATTTCCATGTGAGTTATAGATTGATATGGTACACACATAATGGTATGGTTTTGTCCATAGTCTCATCAATTGGATATGATATGTTTTAGCTACTGCACAATGTATTAGCTTCCAAGAATTGCACAACTTTCTCTTACTTTGTCAATTTAGCATATCATATGTGTTTATGTGTGTGTGTGTGAGTGTGATGGAATGAGGAACATCCTTTTAATTGTTTTTTTTTTTTTTTTTTTTTTTTTTTATCATAGAAAATGTTAGTTCTCAAACCCAGCAGCTAACTGATGGAAAGTAGAGACTATTCGAAAGGTAACTTTTCTTTATAGAGTAAAATTTGATGATTTATGTGCCAACTTAGTGTAATCTTAAAACACTTACTCTTTAAGTTTTCTAATGTCTAATGCATGTGAATTTTTTTTTCTGGTGCTTTTATGCAACCAGACTAAATTTAGTAACCATTATTTTCTTTAGTATAAACTCAACTCTGTTGAAAGAGTTTTTCAATAGAAATTTTTAAGTTTTTAGTGAACTTTTGCATAGAACTAGTTTGGATTAAAACATATGCGGATGTTTGACAAATTCTTGGATTCATATTCATATTTGGCTATTGACTAACCTCTTGACTTGATGACGAACTAAGTCATCAAGCCTTTGGGAATCAATGATCCTGTTTCTCTTATCGTTTTGATATAAATGGAGCTTGGAACTACAGTTTCCATCTTTTTAGTGCTTGACTAAGAATTGTTTCACTACAACAACAACCTATACACCACCTGTTGAGCAACGAATGGTCATTCCAAGTGTAGCCAGCCATTGCCCCACTCACAGGTGCTTACTTTAAACCATTGTTTGTTTATAAATTTCATATTATTACTGATTTATTTCTGAAGTAAATTGATTCAGTTTTGATTCCTTATATGCAGCCACTTTGGCATGTGTGGTCACAGTGAGCATTGATGGGGGTGACATTGAATAATTTAATGAACACTTCTTTTTTGGTAGACACAGTATGAAATTTTAAAAAAAAAATTTCCATTTATTTTGTTTTCTTGTCTTAAAACAATGTTATATGCAAAGTGTTTATCAATAGCATATTTATTATCAAAATTGCAAACTTACACTTAGATAGGTTATACATGTTTTTGTGGACTTTGTACATAATAGTTTGTGTTTGTGGCAATAAGTTTGTGTTGGATGAGAAGGATGACAAGTTTTATTTTATTTTATTTTGCTCATTCATGGTGCTGGCAGCCTTTTTAATAGTGAAAGATTAACTTTGGACCTCAAGGCAATGGTTATATTCCATAAGAACTACTAATTTTAAGAAGGGAAAATGTTATTTCAATTAATTATTATGTACAAATTGTTGTAAGAAAAGTGTTCAACTTCTTTTGCTTTGAAAATGGAATATATTCGTATCACTAAAATGTTCAGTATTATTTCGTTTTTCAATTAATTAATTTATTTGTGTCAAAACCACTCATAAGTTGGGGAGACTTTCAACTTCTATGTATTAATTCAATTAATTCAATTCCTGCTGAATTACAAACTGACAATTTCAATCTTCCATCACTTGCATTTTATCAAATTAAAAGAGAATGTGAAAATCTGTACTGCATACTATTATCATCTATCATCTTTATTTATCAAACCAATAAGCACAATACGGGGACCAATTAAGACATCCTAAATGGCAATCATATAACGATTCTCAGCAATCTTTAAACATAAAAACCGATTTAAAAAAAAAAAAAAAACAATAACAAAATTTCTATTATAATCAATATTTGATATTTTTTTTTTTGAAACAATATCTTTACAATTTTTTAAATATAAAAATTATAATAAAATAAAAACAATATAATATATAAACCTGCGCGCGTCTAGTAATATAATATAGCTATTGCCACTTAACCGATAAAAAACTGGACATGAACATTGATTATCTAAGAAATTGTAATAATTTATTATCTTGTTTGTTTTTAACATTGTGTTAGCATAAAACAACAAATAATAATGACACATTACTCATACCAATTAAAAGTTTACAAAATGTTTTGCTTTCCTATTAAATATATTCCACATATTTTAAGAGACAGATTTCAGAATATATTAAAAACATTCTTTTATTAATTTGCCAGTAAATCTGATAAAACTGATTTTGCCAGATTTACTGTTTTTAGTACCCATATAATATAATTGATCATTGTTAAAAACATTCCTACTCTTTCGATTAAAAAAAAAAAAAAAATCTTTAAACCCCATTTAATACCGAAAATACCCTATGAATTTAATTAGGTTTTGTTTTCCCTATTCCTCCAATTTCAAACTTAATTAGGTTCTTTCTTTACACTCCTTTTTCCAAATTTCCAATCGATTCGATTTGTTGTATAATTACTTTTTTTTCATAATTTTAGTATATATTTTATCAAACAGACAAATTTTTGAAATAAAACAAATATTTCATCAATTATCAAATTTAGTGTTAGAGTTAGGGTTCATGTAAGAAAATTAAAACAAGAATGTAAAATAAGTAGGAAAATTTAGAATTTAAAATGTCATTTTTAAAGATTTTTGATAAAACTACATTTGTCCAAAAAAAAAAAAGAGTAGAGATATTAATAAGTTGGATGAGAGCTTAAAATGACTCCCATTCACAGAAATGAAGCAGACAGTCCCAAAAGAATCAAACTAATGAAAGCCCCACATAATGTAAATAAAATTACCCCATTTAGTTGTCTACAAGTACAAGACAGATAATTTAACATTACACTTATTTTTTTCAATACGAAAAATAGAAAAAGGAATATGACAAAGAGAAACAAAACATTATGCTATATTCCAATCCAGATAACAAAAAATATCAACAACACTGCTCTTTTATAGAGCAGGCATATCTGCTGAATCATTAAAAACACTTTTACACTTCAAGAATAGAATTTCAACAATCTTCAGTTTAACCTTTTCTCCATTCAATTATGTACACACAAATGACTACAGTCAGAACCAATACATTTTCGAGGAACATAAACGAAAAATGAAATTAAAAAATCTATCCTCCCTATCATGCTAGATTTTTTTTTTTTTTTTTTCTTTTTTGGGTGCTCTATGTTTTCCCTTTTTTTGGGTGCTCTATGTTTTCCCTTCCACACTGTTTGCACAGCATAGTGTTTTCCTAAATTAACCAATGGATGAAGTTGTTTAATAAATAAAACAACATCCAGTCATACACTATGTTTTCAATATGCAAAGGCAACCTGGCTTGGCCTGTTTGACTGTATGGTTTTTCATAAATACAAACAGAAGCTTACTGCAGTAGTAGTTCTTCGTCCTTCTGTAACACTTTAAGCTGCCTTTTAGCATACACTGTAAAGAATATTGTGGCAGCCACGGATCCGCAGAAACCAAGAACATTGAAGATGATCTGTGGGGCTGAAAGAAAGTGCTGTTCTTGTGATGCATCTGCCAAGGTCCGTATCAAGATCCCACTGCATGATATCAAGATACCAATTAGTTCAATAAAACATAAAGATTTATGCACCTCAAGGCACTTCAGTAATCAACACATCTATTCCACAATGCAGAACGGAATAAAAGCAATGCAATTTCTTTAAGTTAAATAAATTATTATAAAAAAAGACGGACATAGAAATTAAAAGTGGCTGTTGAACAAATAAACTGGCGCTTCTTTCAACTAAAACCCCAAAAGAACATGACTATGTTGACTACTAATGAAATGATGGTGGTCCATTACACTGAAGGAGGCACTGCAGAAGAATGGAAAAATAAGAGTTTTTTAAGAAAAAGCAGCATATATTATCTGACATGTGAGAACTTGCCATGAAGTTAACAAAATTCATGGCACAATTTGGAGAGTACAAGGCCAGAATCAAACAAGTGATAACTGTCAGAGATAAATACCAGACTCTTTCCTCTTTGAAGATTACATCAGCAGGTACAGCACCTATGGATGAACACATTGTATCTGCCTAAATTTCATTCAGTCAACAAGCATAAGTTTTACTCATATCATCTCAGATGTTGATATAACTTCAGAAATAACATACTTTAGGAGTTAACCAGTGAATTAATCAACCTGTTTTATTAGCTGCTATTCTTGCCTTTTCAATTCTTATGAATTAAGGTTGCACAATTAGTGTGAACCTTCAGTGGTGGTGTTCACTTGGCAGTTTGGCAAAAAAGTTATAGGTGTCACTTTCCAATTCACGAAAGGTTGTTTCTGGTCTTTTGGCAAATCTTGATATTAGCAGAAAAGCGACATAAGGGAAACCTCTTCTGTTATATTAAGTAAGCTTTCAAGCTGCACTAAAATTGGGGATTTGGTCTAATGGTACAGGATTGACATTAAAATGAGGATCAATAAAGGAAAGAATCAACTTCAAAATAAGAAACCAATGAGAATCACTTCTTTTTCTTCAGTGCCATAAAGGCAAGTTCCAAACGATCCTCTTAGCTTTCTCTGGAGCAATCTACTCCAGGCACTTCCTTCTACCTTCTCCTAAATGTTAAGTTTGATCATAAACCAAATTCGATTACATTTAGGCACGCATGCACCTATACATCTACATGCAATAACAATAAGAGTTCCAACTTAACCATTCTTAAAAACTACACAGAATAAAATGAAAAGCTTGCAGAACAGCAGAATAATTCAATACGAAGTGAATGATTGAACATACCACCAGCAACCATCAAACATGTCTTTAACATGAAAATATTTATCTTTTCCAAAGATTAAACAAATTCAACAAAAATCAGCCAAAATTCAGTATATTAAACCAGCATAAGGCAGCAAATCACCTTTAAAATGAAAATGTATACTCTTTTCCCAATATCAACATAAACATTTAACAAGCATGGGTAATGATCAAGTCTAACCCATTCATCAATGCAAATGTACACTACAAATTCTTAAAGTAATTGATAAACTACACACATAGTTGTTTTAGCATGCATCTAAACAAGAGATTAATCTATGTGTATGAAATAGCATGTAAAAGAATAAATTATATGCAAATGTCCTGAAAAAAGAAAAAGAACACACAGAACAACAAACTATTCTATGAAGAAGAAAAAAAATAGGACAAGAATGCACCAAGAGAGATTTGACAGATAGAGTCCATACGTGTAAATTGTAACAAAAATTTCAGGTACCATTCCAACCAATGACCCCAAAAAGTAGGGACCATACTTTACACGTGTCGCCACAGCACAGTAATTGTATATAATGTATGGAAAAGGAGAAATTCTGATTAATGCTACAGTTCGAAATTGATGAAACCAGTTTCCTTCGCCAGCTGCTCTTAGAATAGCAGCTTTCTTCGGATATTTCTCCAACCACCCCTGCATAAGAATCAAAAAATGATTCAGAGAGAGCAGGCTTACATGCAAAATAAGTAATGGAGAAACAAATTTTGGATGATCATACACACTTGAATTTTATGAAGGAAAAGAGAACCAATGAAATACGGAAGTGATATGCCCACAGCCACTGCTGGCATAATTAGAAGAAAACCAAAGCCATAACCAAATGTCATCCCAGCAACCCACATAGAAGGAGAAGATGGCAAAAGGAAGGTGGGGAATAATGCCACAGATGCAAAAACCAGAAGTGCCAGTATTGGATGACTAAATGTCGTCGTCTCCCAATTTATGATGGGAATAACCTCCTGGAAAGTGGAAATATCAATTCAATAGTTAGGTTACACAGACACGAAAAGAAAAACAATCACACATATCCTAAATGAGATATGAACTCTATTATAACATCATCTGAAAGTACGTAGTAATAACATCACTAATAATAAATAGTTAGAATATTTCAGCCACAGTTCATCAATTTATACCTGGCTGTTTACACAAACAATTTTCTTAAATTAACTTGCAAAGCATTGAACTACCAACAGATGTAGTAGACAAAATAACATTACAAAACGTATAAGAACTGGGTAAGGACAAGTACCCACAGATGTATTTCTAGACTAGCTGTAACAATTGTAAAACATAATTAGATAATAATTCTAAATGTTAGCCACATATATCCCACATGGTATAGGAATATATGTTACCTATATCATTGACTTGGACCAACAAAATTGCTGGTGTTTCACCGAGAAAACATACTACACATGCTAAAGTTTACTTACTACTCACTATGATCCAAAATTTAGCACATTCTGACAAGCTAAAAATGTTGATTTGATTGATTAACATGAAGTACGAAGCCATTCCAATTAAAAAGTCCACTTTGGTGCTCTTTCTACACAGTTTGAAATTAACTTATGGAAAATCATATTCAAAAATCTCATAACAGGAGAGACCATCAATATTTATACACACAATTACAAAATACAAATAATATCCAAAATAGCCACGAGCAACCACATAGAAAAGTTAGTTTCACAAGGGGTAAGGTAACAAAAAGATTGAAAAATCTCATGCAACTCTTTATGCCATTACAAAAAACATTCAGGAGTTTTAACCATTTTGATCCATATGTAACCAGAAAAACCACACTGCTCTTTAACAAAAGAAACCCCCAAAAACAAAATCTTCCCAAATAAACAATCAAACAATCAATAAAGTTTAACAAACCCACACTCCAGCACAGTTAGTGAACCTCATGGCATACATCCTAATTTATAATCTTCCTAACTACAATAGCTTGCAAGTCTCTAGTAAGATTATGGTCATATAGAAACTTATAAAGGTCTTACCCATTTAGAAAAAACCAAGAGCTCAGCAATGCAACAAAACCCACACGTGGAAAATTACAACTAATGCATCCTCATGATACAAATACATTCCAAAAAAAAAAAAAAATACAAACTCATTCAAATCAATAGGAAAACTAACCCTATGCCTAAGATTTAAAAAGCAGAAAAACCAAAAAACATTTGAAAATGCAAAACAACCAAAGATTCAAAACACAATCGCCATACATATGCATAACAAAACCCAGATGCAGAAGATTGAAATTACATGAAACTAAGCCCACCCACAAACGTAAATACACGAATTAAGCACGAAAGAGAATAAATTCTCGTAAAAAATTGAAATTTAAGAGGAGACTGACCTTATCCATGAAAAAGGGACCGACCCATTTGAGAAATACAGCAGCTAATAAGCCTAAACATGTGAGCAATAAACCCAACTTGACCCAGTACCAGACTGAGCCACAACTGCATCTTCTGGGTGAACCAGGCCCATCCTGTTCACATTGTCTCAATTTCACATACTCTCCATTTTTATTATTATGATTATTTTCTTCCAAATCTATTCTCACCCCCAGCTCCGGCACAACCTCATTTTCTTCCTCATAATAAGTCATGGAATAATAAAAAGAAACACAAAAAGGAAAATTTGTGAGAGTTATTTCAATTTCTGTTAGTTCCTTGAGAAAATCTGAGAGAAAATAATGTTCATAGAGGTGAAGACTGGTAGATGAGATGAGAGACAAGAAGGCAAGTAGAGAAAACCCCAATGCTTTAGTCTTTATTTTTATAGAGTAAACAGTATTTTCCCACCCAAGCTTTGGCGAGTTTCAGTTCCCCCCCCTGATTTCATAAATTACAATTGTCACCCTTAAATTAATAAAAAACTTTAATCTAACAGTTAAAAGGGTAAAATGGTCATTTCAAAGATAAAAATTTTAAAACAACCCTTTGCTCCTCAAATTCACCCCACTGAAAATTTTTAAAATATCCATTCACTTCTCAAATTCACCCCACCGACAATTTTAAGTCATTTCGTCCTGTTTCCAGCACAATCGACCCCTCTCAACACCACCATTACAATCCCCTCAACCCCCACATCAAAATCCCTAACCTCCCCACCTGATTGCACCCCCCCCCCCCCTCCCCCCAATCATTGGTCATCGCTTTTAGTGTCAATCGATGTTTTATCCAAATTCTAGCAAGTCCCGACACTGAAAACCACCCCCAAGACCACCAATAGCATTGTCGGCTTTCCCCCACCAAAACCCCCAACACCGCTGACTGCAATTGCTCACCGATCGCCGTCGCCTCTCCATTAGGTTTTTGTGTTTTATCGCCTCTTTCCAACCAAATTCCAGCACCTCGCCAAGGTGCATTTGAGTGAAAAAGTTAAGGGTTTTGGTGAGGAGGATAAGGGGATGCTAATGGTGTTGTCGGAATTAGGCCAAATTTTTGGCTTGGCCAAGATCTCCTCTAGGGGTTATTTGAGAGAAATTTGAGATGTTGGGGTTATTTGAGAGAAAAGTAACTTTGTTAATTTAAGGGTGGGAATTGGAATTTATGAAACCAGGGTTGGGAAAAAATTCCCCAAACCTTGGGTGGGACAATGTCGTTTACTCATTTTTATATTTTTAACGTTTAATTTCTTGGCATATAGTATTTGCCACTATTCAAACGGCATCGTTTGATGTTTTGTGCGTACGTGGCCCAATGGTATTTGCATAGCGTCAAAAGTGAGATAATTATTAATGAAGCAAACGTGCTAGGCCAAGGCAAGCATGGTTTCTTATTAAGAAATCGGGATCCTTCTTTCTTTTTCTTTTTTTTTTTTCTTTTTTTTAATAATAATAATAATTATTTATTGTTAATAATATAAGGTTTGTTTGATACATTATATAAAATATGATATTCTAAAAAATTATTTTAAATAGGATATGATAGGCTAAAAGTGGCCTTGGTATAATATCTCAAAATTATATCAGAATTGGATAAAAATAAATAGTTATTTGGTACATTTTTAGAAAATATTTAGATTATTTTTTAATCTTCTAGATTTGTTAATTTAGCTAAACACTCTCCTACAATAAGAGTTTACAAATTAACAAAAACACCCCCACCCACCTAACCTACTACTAGCAGTCGATCACCACCACTATCGGACGGTGATTAAAAGTCGCTGGAATGGCATACGACTAACTAGATCTGGACGATCTGGTCTTTTTCCAGTCACATCCACCGTGCACGATTAGCCAGATCCAAGTCGGTCGTGCATCGTTTCGACGATGGTAGCAGTGGTAGCAGTTCCTGGCAATTGACAATGGCTTGGGTGGTTGTGGTGTTTTTGTTGATTTATAAAATTTTATTGTGAAAGGTAATTGTTAAAATGTTTTGAGTTGAATAGAATATGATTGAAAAATATAAACAATATTGGATTTTTCATTTTCAATCTAAAAAATGCTTTTGAATAGGATTGAATTTTGAATGGAATTTCGTCAATATTAAAATAAACATGTTTTTTACTGTTTATTTTAAATAGGATAATATAACAGATTTTAAAAAGTTAAACAAATAGGGACATATCTTCTCTAAGATTAAGGTTTAAGAATGTGGTATTTTAGTAATTTAACATGCATATTTATTTAATTTTAAAATGAGGATGAAGTGAGGTTTGTGAACTATTATTGTATATCTTTTCATTAATTGTAATGATAACAATAAAAAGGACAAACCAGTTTTAATTTATATTAAATTTATAAGTAAATGACATGGTCCCACCTAAGGTTTAGCAACCCTAAATTTTGATACTGATGATTGTATTTACTCTAATTTTTCACCTTTAAATTAATAGAAAATCATTTAATAAAATAATTAAATAGTAAAAAAGTTATTTGCATTGTATTAAATCTGAAACAAAAATAAAAATTTCAAAATAATCCACTACAACTAAAATTCCTCTTAGAAGCACCCTCTCTCTAAAAATCAACCCGTTTTTTTATTGAAAGTGTCGACACTGTCGTCGACTGATTTAAGTCAATTTCTGTCGATTTTCTCACCGAAACCGGCCAAAATTAACTCCTTTTCACAAATCCAACCCTTTCCCACCTCAAATTAGACCAGATGCCACTGTTTTTGTCGTCACCAACCATTTTTTTCCAGTTGCCTCTTGTCTTTCTAAGTCAAATTCTGACCAAATTCAGCGGCCAAAATCAAATCTTCCACCACCTTTTTAACCGTCAACCTCCACTCTATAAAACCCCTCAATCCTTGTCACCTAATTTCCTTTTAATCCTGGTTATAGGGGTGAAAATCAAGTTGAGCCGCTTGAACTTGGCCCAATTTTGGTCAGGCTCGACTCCATAATAATTGAGTAGAGCTTGAGTTTGAGTAACTCAAATACTTATTCGAGTCAAGTTCGATCATGGTACAACTCAAAAAGCTCGATTAAGCTTGATTAAGCTCGATTAAGTTCGATTAATATGAGTTCGAATTCAAACTCGAATTATAATTTTAAGAACCGAGTTTGAATTCGAATATGATTCCTCAAACTCGGTATATTTGAGGAATAGAGGACACGTAGAGAGGAGGAAGAATGGAGTGACAGGTGGATTGTTGTGGTGATGAGTTGGCGTGAGGGTGTTTCAGTTATTGCTTTGGCTTGACTTCAACTTGCGGTTGCGGATAGGAATGTCTCTGTATTTGTATTCGTATTTGTTGAGCGACCGAGTATGAGTAAGCATTCACTCATTTAAAGCTGATTGGGCGGTGCCGAAGGCGACAGAATGTTGACAGCTGAGGTGGGTACTTTTGGACTATAACGCGATTAGAATTCGACACGTGTTATTCAGCTTGCTGGCTCTAACCACAGCAACTGACACCCAAGATTCTTTCAGGGTATGAAAGTCTGAATAATATTTAAATTAAGAAATAATAATATAAAGGGGATGACTTATTGGAAAATGATTGGTGGACGGGGTAGATAATAATAATTTGAGAAATTGTTGAAAGTGCTTAAGTAGGATGATGATTGACATTGATGTGACACATTTGTTATTACAACAAGGTTGTGCTTATTTAATTATTTATTCTATCATATGTGATTATAATTTGTGTTATTCAAGCATAGGTATGTATTAAGCATCAATGTTATAGACACCGATGATAGCTGATATTGAAATTTTACATTGATCTACATGATATTTGACTTGAACGTGATCACATAGGATACGATACAAGACTTTTGTAAATAAACGATCATCCAACAATTATGAACGACCATTCATTCACGAATGGACAAAGGTTCAAAAAAAATAAATAAAAATCAATAGACTTCCATCCATATACTATGGACAAACGTCCATTTACTATGGACTACTGTCCAAATTATATAGACGACCGTCCAAAAAAGCATAGTATGGACACCAGTCCATCTCGTGTGGACGGTCGTCCATACTTTGTTAATTTTTTTTCGTTTACAAAAATCAATAGTTTGTTAATGCGCTTTACAAAAAGTGCCAAAATTTTAGATGAAATAACCAAAAAAAAAAAAAAAAAGTCCACATGAGAGGATTGGTGTCCATACTTTGTTAACTTTTTTTTTTTTTTTTTAAACAAAATCAATAGTTTGTCTAATACTCTTTATAATAAGCACCATTTTAGATGAAATAATAAAAAAAAAAAAATCATTTTTATTGTAGCTTCATTGTTTTCTCATTTTTTTCTCTCTTCTCGCTAGTGTTGAGTTCTGCTTACTCTTCTACCTCGGTTTCTTCCCAACAGCCAACTGTTTAGGGTTTTCACAGGAAAGCCACTCTTTTTATAGAGATAATGCTTAGCATGGAAAGAGAACAAGGATATCAAACATTTTAAAGCTTAGAAATATGTTAAGGTAAATAATTTTTGAATTATTTTATGTATTTATTAGTTTCATATTCTATTTTGGATTGATATATGTTACAATACAAATAATTGATAGATAATATTTGTTGGTAATTGTTGTGAGCTAGATTCGTGAACGCGAAAACTGGTATAGGCCTGTGCCATGAAAATTACGGAATATGGAAGGGTCCAGTTTGCTTCGTTTCAATGATGTTGAGGTAAATTGTGTTCGAAACTTTAATTTTTTCATTAACATGATTTTAAATATATTGTATTGTATTGTTTCTTATGATGTGTTGTATTAGTATATTCAAATTTGGTTTATTATAAAACCATTCAATTAGGAAAATGAATGTGATGAATTAGAAGATACGGGATGTGCAGAGGAAGAAGTGGAGCCTCATATTGGAATGATGTTTGATTCAGTTGATAGTTTGGTGAAATATTACAAAAGGTATGGGAATAGAAAGGGTTTTGAAGCAATGATACCTACGTCAAAGAAATGAGATGATGGGGAGATGAGAAACGTGACAGTGGCGTGTTATTGTTCTAGGAAGGAGAGAAGTAAATCTAGAAATACCTTGAAAAAACAGTCTGTTGCTAAAACAATTTGTAATAGTTGGATTAGTGCAACTTTGAATGGTGAATGCAAATGGGAAATTAAATCAGTTGTGCTTGAACATAATCATGATCTTACAAGTCCGACGAAAAGAAGATATTTCAAGGTAAACCGAATGATACAACCTTTTGTGAAAATGAGGCTTGAAGTTAATGATCAGGTTGAGATTAGACCGTGTAAAAATTTTCAGTCATGTTCAATTGAGGCAAGAGGTGTAGAGAAGTTGACGTTTCTACAAAAAAGA